GTATGTATAAATGGATGGAACTATCAACAAAACAGCGTTTTATTCCCCAATGTCATATTTAATAGAAAAATAATAATAATAATGTAAACCAAAGAGGGAGATGGAAAACAGTTCCATGTAGAGCACAAACAGCTCTCTTAACCCTCGCTGTTAACAAAGGGCTGCACTCAACTATAAGGTTCACCGCTGTCCCTTTCCACTTATAGAGGGTTGGGGTTCGATTCCCTGCCTGTCCACCTATAAAGCCAAGGTAGCGCAGCTTTTTTTCTGTTCTTTAGTGGCTCACATGGACATTTAGAGGTCATGCAAAGAAAGGGTTATGTATGTTGTGTGTGTGACAGAGAGTGCAGAGAGAACATTGGCAAAGGGGATTTGTTTGTCCTAGCATGGCTGTACAATTACAAATACAAAGGTTTACCCATTTAGACTCCATGGCATGGAGAAAAAAACTCATTTTAAATGACTCTAAGGATATAACAAGTTTTAGAAAATTGAAAGATTGATGGATTTTTGCCCACATGCGGTAAACATCTTAATTGAATTTTCTATGTGCAACATGAGGACAATAACCACAAGTGTACTCACAGTACCTTTTTTCTCTGGCACTGAAGTTGCAAGGTTTCAGCATGTTGTCCCTCTCTAAACCTTTCTGTTCCCCATTCTTCTTTCTCCAATAAGTGGTGCATCATTATTTTTCTATTAAATATGACATTGGGGAATAAAACGCTGTTGTTTTGTTGATAGTTCCATCCATTTATACATACTTCATCCTCCTGTCACGGAGTTCAAGCACTTAGAGAGTTGGGCGGGGAGCAAATATTATGCTCGTCACAATCATGTAAGTATGTATTTGAAGACAAAAACAAATGTTTGCTTCAGCATGCAGACTGTGCCAAGTAAAGCCATATTCCTCCAGTCTCTGTATTAATGCTAGCGCTGGGTGACCACACACACACACACACACCAAATTTCAACTGATTGACAGCTTATTTTTGGTCAATTTCTACCTTTATCTTCACCTAAATGCATTTTCTTGAATTCTGGCGATCTCAAAAGTATCATCAAATGATTGGGCATCCCTAATTTAGTTGGATATGACACCTTAAATGTTTTTCTACAATGTTTGGTTCCAAAATTAAACGTGTTTGAACATTTGACCCGAGAGACTGGCGGCCATCTTGGATTTGACCTCTCACGGTCCTCACGGGTCAAATCTGACTTCCCTCCACATCTGAAAATAAACCTTATGGTATGCACTAACTATGTTAGAAATGTCATGCTTTTCTCATAAAATGCACAATTGTTGTGCTTATCCGCTGTACTATGGCCAGTAATTCTAATAGTATGACTGACGCAGAAATGTATGTTGGTGGGGACTGCTACAGATGTTTGGTGGTGGTATTCAGTTATCATTTTACAAGTTGAGTAAAGTTTACAGTTCGCCCTCTAGGCCCTCTTAGGCCTAAGATATTCCAAAAAATAATATTTGAAATTTCTTTTTAAGATTTTTCATTAGTTTTACCAAAATAACTTGATTTAATTGTATTTAAAATAACATTTCCAAAGAAATAAATCCTTCGAATCTGCCTGTTCAGTTTCTGTTGGAATGTGAAGGGTTACATGCGTCTCTGCGAGTTACTGTGAAGACGGGAGAGCTTGTTGGTCCCTCTGTACATTCACAGGGCCAGCTATAGTAACTCAATGAGAGAGTAATGTCAAATGACAGTACAATTGACCAATCATATCCTCCCTCTAAATGGGTGGGCTTTATTTTCGCGGACTTTATGACAAGTTCCGCCCACTGTGAGGTTTATGCAAGTGGTGCAGTGACGCGTCCTAAAACCCGGAAGTAAGCTGCGCTCGGGTTCCCTCGACAGAAAAGCAATGGGATTTCTCATGGATGTAATAGCTCGAAATAAAGTCTGTGGAAAACTAACCTGTTAGATAAATGCACGTTTTGTTCAGCCGGATAATATCCACATGTCTACCCTACTTTTATTATTTTCGAATCATAAATCTAATCGATAGATTTATGATCGATAGATTTATGATTAGCATAAGTTCGTTCATGATGGCTCATTTCAGTGATAGTGATGACATCGTTGCGAAATTATTAACCGAGTCATTTTCAAGATTGAGTTACAATGATAAACTGGAGTGGCAAAGGATCAGCTGCATGACCCGCCATCAAGTGCTTCATCCAAAAGGACAGGAGGATGGACTTTGTGTTTAAGTGAATTGATCATCAAAGGTAGGCCTAAGTCATTTTCAATGTGGGCCGCCGTGCCGACGTAATTCATTTGTAATTGTTACTTGGCTGTGGGTGCCCTGTCATGATAGGTTTTTAGATAAATTGTGTTGTTTTGTGTGGTAGAGGGTCGCTGTCATTGATGTGTTTTGCACCCCGGGCCGTTGTTTTGATATTCCGCTGAAGTATACGCTGAGACGTAATAACCCTTTTTTTTTTTCGAGGAAAGGGGGGGGTCAGAGGGCCTAGGTATAAATGTCACGGCTCGCCACTGAGTTCATCAACACCTGTTTTTCGGATGACCTGCCCCTCTGTGACATTGCAGTGATAGGCAATAAGCCATCTGATGTGACAGCTGTGTGTTATAGGTGAACAGATAGTGAAAGTTAAGGATTTCCCCATATTTGTTTGAAAAGGAAATCACATTCCAGCCAGTTGGCATTCGTATCGTTTCGCAGGAATAGAAACATAATGTTACACTTAACTGTGTCAGAAACCCCACAAACAAAAATAAAACTACCAAATAAATAAACACCAATACACGTCACACCAATCCCTTTTAACCAAATTACTAATTTTTCTTGCAATACCCTGATAGGCAAACATGTTTGGATAATAAAGCACGGTGTACTGGACACAGTTGGCCAACATGAAAACCCTCTTTTTTGGCCAGCACATTCAGAAAGGCCAGAGTGTACAGTAAGTTATTGATGTGTTACTCAAGCATACTTTATCAAGAGGAATGGTTGCTTGACGCAGCCTCTAGTATCCTCCAGGTCTTCTTGATGCATGGACCCTGCCAAAGTTAACTGTGCCATAGCTGTCCTGCTTTAACACCCACATGGTTTTGGTCCTGTCCCACACTCACAGCCAAAGCTTGCAGGCCTTTGGACAAAACTCAACACTGAGCTAAAGCCGACCCCCTATCCCATCACAATATGGCATACATGCCTGATCCCACTGAGAATTTACGAGAGTGAGCTGCTCCCACACCATGCCTCCTTTCCTCGCCAAATCTAACCCAAACACTGCCCTCCCTCCCTTAATTTCCACCTCTGAGCCAGAGGAAATTAACAGACCACACATCAATTTAGCCTACTCTGAAACTCAAGAGGGGCACATATATGCACTCAAAAAAAGCTAATTACAAGTATACACATACATAGAGATGGCGACAGAACTAAATGGAGTGTCTGTGACAGGGATTAGCACACCACCAGGACAGCAACACAAATCTGACGTATTGTTTGGCCTTCCTTTCCTCTTTATCTTCCCCGTTTCCTTCACCCTGTCTCTGAAAAGAACAGGAAATAGAAGGGAGCGCTCCTTAGATGAGCGATGTGTCTGTGTAATTAAATTCCTGACCAGACCAGCTCAGCAGTGGAAACCCTGTGGTCAAATACAATCTGTTGGAGGAAAAAGAAACTCAGTACGGAAGAAAGCCTTCTCTAACTTTGCATATAAACTGCTAGCTAGACTTTTCATCATAGCAATTCTGCAACTGTATTAAAGGCTACGTACAGTATAATAACAAATACAAAATTATATTCTTACTGCTGCAGCCTGTTATAGCCAGGTCTCCCTTTAAAAAGAGACTATTAATCCTATTGGGGATCTCCTGGTTAAATAAATAAAAAGTAACAATGGAAAAAGAAGTGTGCCTTTTACAAGAAATTCTGCAACTTCAAAACTGAAAAAAGAAGAAGAAATAAAGTAGGCTCAACCATATGATTTCTTAAGGGGACACACTTCTGTAACTTAAATACAGGGGTGGAAGAAGTACTCAGATCTTGTACTTAATGACAATAAAGTTGCAGCTAGTTTTTATGACTTTGTATGCTGCATGGCTCTGTTGAATTTTACTCCAGGTATAACAAAAGTCTTATTCAAGTGTTGATTATATTTCATATAATTTATAAAAATCTGTAAAGTAACTTAAGACATTACATAAATGTAGTGGAGTTAAAGTACACAATTCAACTCTGAATTGTAGTGGGGTAGAGGTACAAGGTAGCAAAAATACTCAAGTAAAGTACCTCAAAATTGTACTTGAGTACAGTACGTACTTACGTAAATATATGTAGTTACTTTACACCACTGGTTTATATAACCTCATGTATTGTCCAAAACGAATTCCGAAATATAGGTAGGCCTAAATTAAACCAAAACATTTATTTAAGGGTGTTTATTACTGGAGTAAGAAGTAGGTTACAAGCTGGAAATCGGGTTGGCTACAAATGTTTGGGTTTATTTTTGTTAAACTGGGGAGGAAGATGTTCCTCAGTGGTTGGAAAAGTGCAACTGCATTACTGATAAGAAAACCACAATGAAGACATAAGACGCATGTCTCACCACAGACACGATTGAGCAGTTCAGTTTCCACCATGGACTGAACACATCTGTACAGACATTCAACGATGACGTTATTTGTGATAGCAGGTATACTGGCTGGTTTAGCTTAGCCTCATCTCTCTTTGTCTCCCAGCGGCTGTAACGTTACTACAGTGAAGTTATTCAATCATGTCGGTGATGGAAATAATAATAATGTTACAATGTTAATGAATGAATTACGGTGGCTGACAGGGGTCACGGGAATCAACGCGACATTAAATACTCGCTGCCTCGCGCTAGCTGACGATGAGAGGCAGCATACATTCATACAAACAGTAAACAAGGCTGGAGCGATTCAATAACGTGTCATTGTGTGGGTTACAACAATAAAACAGCAGTCATTCAGAGAAGTGCTCCTTACCTGCGATATGCAACACGGGGTACACATTTTGCGTGGAGACAATCAATAAAATCCGTTTTAAGAGTAGAAGACGAGCTGCTTTCTGCTTCCTCTCCACATGAAATCACCGCCACCAGCACACGGGAAACAACGCTCCTGTCCCCGCTGTCTCTCCTCCTCCTCCTCCCCCTCCCTAATGCTTCCTGTCTCTCCTCCCACTCCCACAAGCCGAACACAAAGCTGAAAGCCACAGAGGGCTTCAAGAAGTGGTTGTAAACAGGCCATGGAAAATCTATGACACACTTTAAGCTATATGCTAACATTAGGAGGTCAAAGCCAGATGTCACACCAATTACTTGCATTAAAAACACTGCCGAGGACCCCTACACATTACAAGACCATCATGGAATATTAATGTATAGTTAGTAGAACAATTGTATAAGAGCTTTACACTATTATTAGGGCAGGGGTGATAGTTAAATATAATTAAAAACATACCAATGTCCTAAAGCAGCCTACATATAAAGCTATCTGGATCTAATTATAATAATAATCCTACAATAAATAGTACTACTTTCACTGTACAGTATTTTATTGTACATTCTGTTCTGTTTATCTTATTTTATTTACATGTATAGACTCCTGCATGTACTTGTTCACTTACAACATTCTCTGCAACATTTAGCTTATTGCTGTTATTAATTTTTTGACATATAGTTTACTTCATCTGCATTACTTGCACATTGGTCTTCATGATAATGTTGCATTACTTTATTGTACTCTGTTTCTTCTTGCACTATTTATACTTAAGATTTTCAATGCCCTATCTACATTGTACCTACTGTACTGTGCATATGACAATAAAGCCTTTGGATCTTGAATATTTGAATCCTTAATCCCCACGTAATGTTCATTACTTGACAACTACAGATAATGGATGGTTCTTTTCTAATAATCACCATAAGTCTTGCCATACTATGATGATAGTAGTTGCAATAATTAAAGTAAAAGTACTCCTAAAGCTGTAATAACCACCAGTATGAAAGATAATTTGCATTGTTACAACCTATATGATGTCATTCTGTCTCATTTGATCTATTTATCTATATCATGTTCCAATAACTTGCATATAGACTCTTATTGTACTATTTCACTATTTCACTTTTTTAAACTATTTTTCTTTTTGTATTTACTTGCACTATATTTGTCTGTTTATCTGTTTTATTGTGTTGCACTGTTGGAGGAGCCTGTGACCTAAGATTTTCATCGTCATAACTACACTGTAGCTATGTTCGTATGACAAATAAAAACCTTGAACCTTGAACCTTGAACCTTGAACTTTGAACCTTCCCAAGCAGACAAGGTTTATGCAAAGGCTTTGGCTTAACAAGGAAAATGTAGTTATGTGTGTTTGCCAATTTGTTATGATATTGTGTCATGTTCATTCAAGTGCCCACATGGAAAACACCCAAAAATACTGTTGTGAAAAAACATCTGTCAGACATAAACATAACTTCTCTCATGTGATTATAATTAAAGAACTTTGCCTACTGTCCTAGACTCTATGGATAACATATGCTGTTCAAGTTTTTACAATCTTTCAGAAAGGAAGAACAGCTGACTAAAGAGGTTGTCCTTAAATCCTAATATGATGATCAATAATTCATGAAATGTCCATTTTTACCTCTTCGCTAATCACAATAAGTCTTCAGGGGAGACGTGAAAGCCTGGCTGTTTCTAATGCTAATGGAAACATTACATTACCCTAGAGCAGGGCTCTCCAACACGTCGATCGCGAGCTACCGGTAGCTCGCGGGCAGCTTTTCAGTAGCTCGCCGCTCGATTATCGATTATAGCGTAGTAAGGTTGCTTATTGATTTTTCGGCCGCGGCTGGACAATAACGTTTTTTTATTTTAGATTTTTTTCTGTCACACGAATATCAAATGGTCGGTGACGCAGAGATCAAGGAACAGACGTGACAGCAGCACAGCGACAACACACACGGAGCAGTCTGCTTTCTCCACCAGCACGAGTCCAGAACTAACAGCAGAATGACCCGCTCTGAATCAGGCCCTGTCGCTGCGCCTCAGAGACACACAGGGAGGGATTTGTGTTTTTTGAAAAACACTCGTTATCGTCATGTCAGGTTTTTGGTGAATTTAATCAAGTCTTGGATTGCAGAGTATGAATGTCCTCTTGCTATTTTCAGTTGATAAATACTTGTGTAAAGTTTGTGAAGGCAGGAGGAAAGCTTCCGCGATCACCGTCTCCTCTCCGTTCCTCCAAACCCCGCCCCCTCCCTGAAAATAATGAGTGACAGGCTGATAGTGACCCGATAGAAACTTTATTATTCACTTAATCACTGATTGAGATATGATGAAGCTAACTTAATCTCATACATTCATGGGATTTATGTAACAGTAAGACAGAGAATGTAAGTGTGCACCCACATGCACTATTTTTGTTTTTATAATGCTATTGTAAATACTCCTGCTGTTTTCAGACTCAAGTCATGTGTGTCTTTTTTTTAACAGAAGACCGTTGCTAGAAGCTGCAGCTAGACTGCAGAAGTATTAGTTTTTTGTTTTTGAGGATGGAACCATTTTCACACACAGATATAGGGAGGCTAGACCTATACAATTGATTTATTATGGTTTATAATTTAATGTCAAGACGAAGAAGAAGAAGAAAAAGATGGCTGAACAACTGTTCAGTGTCAATCCTGTGGAGATCTCCAAAATAATGTTCAGCTTAAGTCTCAGCAAAACTCACAACATTTCTGGAGCCTTGTAGACCCAGAAAACTATAAGAACATTCACCAAGCAGCACTGAAAATGTCTGCTTTATTTGGTTCTGTTCTACATACCTTTGTGAAGCAGCTTTTTCTGACATGAATGAAATCTAAATACAGAACAAGACCGACTGATGAACATTTAAATGACTCTATTAAGTGAACCTAAGTGGGTCCAGCATACACCTCTATGGTGGACTGTATGCAGTGCCATTAATCTCACTAACAAAAGAGTGAAATGCTTGTAAGGTGGTGATTAAGGACACTTGAATGTTCAGTGATGTACTTATTATGTGGGCCATAATAATATGTGAGAAATCTTCGTTTTCTTGGACCTTATTTTTGATAAGCTTTAGGTATTGCAATTTCACACGTGTACAAAAGTATAGCTTAATTCAACTGATGAGGGCTATGTGAATAAATGTAAGCGATGTGATGCAAGTAGCTCTTGGCCACTTTCATTTTTTGAAAGTAGCTCTCAGATGAAGAAAGGTTGGAGACCCCTGCCCTAGAGTTTTGCCTTTTGGTTGAGTTCTACTTTACATAAGCCTCTAAACTGTATTATTCATTTCAAAGTCTTATCATCCCACTGCGGTCCATCCCACATACTTATCTTGCGGAGTCAGAAATATGTGCAAGAATGACTTTCTCCCACAAACCCTGTGCTCATGTTCAGTCCCAGCATGTGGGCGACAGTGTGAGCGCCTTGGTTCCAACAGAGGCTCTCCTGGCCAATGAATCGGCCTCGGCATGAGCTGATAAGGCTTTTACTGTTACTCTCTATGAATGTGCAGCTATCGGCCAAACCCGTCATCTGACCCAGTCAGCCAACACATACACAGTCATACGCACGCACACACACACACGCACACGCACACACACACACACACACACACACACACACACACACACACACACACACACACACACACACCACACACACACACACACACACACACACACACACACACACACACATACATGCAGCAGTCACTCACCACCACACAGTCCTTGGGGCTTTCTCATTTCACTAATTTCTCCTCCTCGACTCCTCGAATCCTCGGTCCTCCGATAATGACCCGGAAATGGATTTCAGCGCGCCATGTTGAAGGACATCTAATTTCTCTAAATAGAGAGGCGAAGTCCCTCCCCTTCCGGGGGACCTCCATGGGACCTTATTTCGGAAAAATTGTATTGAAGTCAATGGGGAGAGAAAGATTATCTTTCGATCCCGTTTGAATTGTGCCACGAATTACACATATGATGTTTGTCAATTTAAAAGATAATTTTACAAGTCAAACAAATAAAAATGTGTCGTAAAACTGTGAAGTAACACTTTTTTTGTGTGAAACCGCTCAATTAACTACATCTCCGTCTCGCACCACACACCAAGACGGCCGTCACGTTGGCACATTTCACTTCTTTCTTTCAGAATGAGGCGAAAAGAATTAAACGAGGTGAAAATCACTACAAGTCTGGGCATGTTGAGAGCTGTACATACACACAAGGGGAGTTAGTCGGTTCCGTAAGAGCCAGCATGCAGGACCGGGATTCTGGGATTTGTAGTCTTTCTAGTTGTGTATTTTTCATAGTCTTATATTTCAACGGTTTTACTACAAACTGTGACTTTTTTGACATGGAAAAGATTTTTTAAGATTGACAAACATCATATGTGTAATTCGTGGCACAATTCAAATGGGATCGAAAGATAATCTCTCTCTCCCCATTGACTTCAATACATAATTTTTCCGAAATAAGGTCCCATGGGGCGGAAGTAGAAGGGCGGGACTTCGCCTCTCTATGCACTTCGAGGACCGAGGACCGAGCATCGAGGAGGCTCTCTGGAGGAGCTATAATCGAGGATACACTGATGGGTCCTCCGCGGATGTATTTCCGGCAACAGTGATGTTTAAAAGAGTCGTGACGCACGGCCGGACTTATCTCAGCCAATGACAGCTCTGCATGCATCCCCTGGATATTATTTTATTAACTGCTTGAATCGCGACGCGATGTTTACAGGGAGAACAGCTGTGAGGTCCGTGCAGAAAGCAGAGCAGTGTGTAAAATATATATTACTCAGTATAACAGGCCTACATCACTCTCTTTATTTGTATGCTTTAGTTTAGTAGATATCTACAAACAAAGAGTCGATATTTTTCTCTGAGTGATTAGATGGGGTGTCCTGCTATCACCCTGGAGTGAAATAAGTATTTGATACTGGAGAGTTTTTGTTTTATTCTTATCTAAAAACAGAGGGATGATAGCTCATATATGAGACTTCAAAGGTCTTTTATTTTGAAACTCTACATCAGATTGTCCTGATATGTTCTGAGTGACTAGATGGGGTGTCCTGCTATCACCCTGGAGTGATATTAGTCTTTGATTGACTTCGAATGACTCTTTGATTATGGACAGTTTCCATTAAATAATAATCAAAATATAGACGGACAATAGATGTAATTTGAGATTTTAAACAGCATACATTTTAAATTGATGGAATTGGGGATATATCCAGTCTCTGATAGTGTTACGTTATTATGAGAGTGCTCTCATACTTGTTTGATTCTGAAATTGTATATATTTATATAAATATATGTGTGTGTGTGTGTGTGTATGCCCGCATCTGTAGCCTGCTGTTATTGTCTCATTATACCACACTGTGAATGAATTAAAAGTAAATATATAAGTCATCACAGTGCTGCTCTGCCTCCTGTCATCATTAACCCTCCTCGACTCCTCCGCTCACATCTCTTGTGGGCGGGACTAAGACACGAGGATAGGAGTCGAGGAGGGGAATTAGAGAAATTAGAAAGGCCCATTGTGTCTCCGAGTGCAGCACTGTGAACATTTATAAATAGGCACAAATAGCCATTTCTTTCTAAACTTAGGGCACCATGAGCTTTAATTACTCTCTCGGCTCGGATCTGAAAAATGCTCATACTCAATAAGTTGGTAAAATGTATGAATTATGTTCATATATATATAAATCTCTTTTAGCTTATAGAGAATTTAAGCATGATCTCATTGTGAAGACTAGAGCAGCATACAGAAAATATACATCTTTTGATAAGGAATTTGAATTGTTCTTGTGACATACTCTCATGTCTTTCACGGTCTTATTTTCTGATATGATCCTGTTTGACAGAAAACCAAAAGGCCATCAGGCCTCGCTGACATGTCAGGCCGCGTTGGATCACAGTAATGTTGAAGAGAAGGGACAGAGAGGGAACGAGTGGCACATTGTTGCAGGACACGGCCAGCCCAGTGTCACTCTGTCTGCCCGGAAGACATGGCTTATGACACATAGTTGTACCAAAATACAACCCTCTTTACCTTTTACTCTGCCAACAGGCTGCATAAATAAATTACAGGTATAATTCTGTCCACACATGTTCAATAGGTGACAGGTAGACTGTTAACACCTCTAACATTATTCTAGTGTTGTATTAATATGTAAGTAGCAGTGAGATTGTCACAATAATGTCTTACTACCACAGTAGAAAAACTTTTCTTAATAAATCATATAAAACCATGTAGGGTCAGATTGATTTAAGGTAGTCACATCCCTCACATGTATTTGCACAATTTAAATACATATAAATGAAATAAACCAGGCCTTCTTGTTTGGTTGTTCTTATTTTCAGTCACATAAATATACATATTACAACAGGCTCCCAGAGCTTAGCCATCATTGTGGCAATGAAAAAAGTCCACCAGAGTTGAGGCTATTGACCTCTGTAGTACATCAGTCGATGGGATGGCTCACACAGCAGCACCTCGGATACGTAGAGGTAATCTTAGGCACAAGTCTTGACTGATTCAACAGCTACATCCTCTAACATTTCCTAAAAACATCTGAGCCTTTTTCCCTCCGCTGGTTTTGGAATTCCTTTTTTTTCCTCCATTCCAGTGGATAATCCTGAGCAATGCGGGAAGGCTGAGCCGCGCAAGTGTGTGAAGAAGGTGATCCTCTGATGAACCAGGTTCCATTGGTCAGAAAATAAGCTTCTTCTTCATCACAGCTGAAAAGAAATACAAAGAATGGTGTTACAAAAACATGAAAAAGCACTTCACTTTTTCCCGAAATTCACTTTAGGTAATCCGGGCTAGTTGAGAGTCCACTAACAGCAAATATGACCAATATGTTTCGGTTGGGTTCTGCTTTAGAAACATTATTTTTCTTTTGTTTTCAACAGAAGATCTTGGTTCCTAGGGACCAAGACCTTCTGTTAAGTATTCTCATCCTTGATACTAAACAAAATGATGTATTTTGTTCACAACTCTTGAAGCTTTTGCAAAGATGTCCATTACATTCTGGTTGGCTTAAACAATTGTCATATTTAACTCAAACTACAGGATCAAACTAAACTAAATGTTTACCCAAAATGGCAGACTTTTCATTTTAGCAAACTATTCTGTATTACTGTCATAGTAGAGACCATAAGCTGAAAAGTGTCCTATTTTTACCTAAACTAAGCAGATTTGGTATTACCATGTGGTTCAAGCTGGTTAGCTACATTTTCAATTTCCTTGTCTAATGCCCTTGCAACTGAGACCATCATCTTAATCCATAAACCTACTATGGACAGATAAGACCGAGACCTAAGTATCTCTGGTGCTCCTAAACTGGATAGGATATTGTGTTTATATCTACATCTCAAGTAAGAAATATACTTTAACAATACAGTCACATACTGTATCTACACTACATACACTACTTTAAAAAAGCCTATAAAGAGCAATCTGCTAACCACTAAAGTTTCCATATGGTAGGTATTTGGAAATTCGCTCTATAATATTCTGTAGCATAGAGCAGAGCGTATAGTCAACCCAGACCATTTAGAAACCACAGGAGGAGCTGGAAAAGCTTTGAACCTCCCAGTAACATCAAGGTCCTCCTTCAGTAAAACATACCCTACCACGATCCACTAATCTGTGTGTGTGTGTGCGTGTTCTATTTTGCTATACTCTGAATGTCTAACTACAGTTTAATGTGCAGCCAACACCCTTTGAATTGCTAGGTTCAAACAAGTGGTATTCTAGATTTATAACTGTAGTGTGCGTAACCCTGAGAAAACGAGTGGTTCCCTCGGCTAAAATAAACAACATGTTATATGTAAGATTGGCGGGTAAGGGTTAGAGTGGGATGCTTTAAATATGTCCAACTCCTTTTAAAAATCAGCCTCGACATTGTTGCAGACACTGTTTAAAACCAAAACTTTATGGCATACTCATTTATTCATAGTTTTTCAAAATGACAATAACGGTCTAGAATATATTCCTATTTATTCTGTATTATATTGTTGGGAAAATGGGCTTAATACTGTGAGCCACTGTTATCTTATACTGTTGGAACTGTGCATGACCTTGCAGCTGACCCCTGTCGAGACTGGAGGAGCCAAGACTTGATTCATTTGTTTACCCACAGAAAAGAAGACATTCACACTTATTTTTTCACTCTCTGGAGGGCAAAGAGTAACATCCGACTATCGTAAAAAGAAAACTTGCATGCGGCGATCTGGCGCTAAACCGATGTACGACTATGTTATTGGATGCTGTGAAGACTATATAAGCATGATGTGATTGTTTTCTTATCCTTTCAGCAGCATACCTCGTGTGTGTGAGTTGAACCATATTTCTGTATGTGATTTAACTCCTTCTTGCAAGAGTAAATTGGGACCTGATTATTGACCCTCAAACCTCATTCAGACTATCGCTCCTGATATTCTACCATTTCTCACCCATCTCGTCAATACTTCTCTAACTTCTGGTCATTTTCCAAACAGACTCAAGCAGGCAAGAGTAAACCCTCTCCTAAAGAAACCCACTCTCAACCCGTCCGATGTTATAAACTACAGGCCTGTCTCTCTCCTCCCGTTCCTGTCTAAAACACTTGAACGCGCTGTCTTTAAACAACTCTCCCGTTATCTCCATCAGAACAACCTTCTTGATCCGCACCAGTCTGGTTTCAAGGCAGGTCACTCCACAGAAACTGCTCTCCTCGCTGTCTCTGAGGAACTGCACACTGCTAAAGCAGCCTCCCTCTCCTCTGTCATCATCCTTTTGGACCTGTCTGCTGCATTCGACACGGTGAACCATCAGATCCTCCTTCGCACTCTCTAAGAATTTGGAGTTTCAGGCTCTGCACTTTCCCTCCTCACCTCCTACCTCAAAGACCGCACCTACAGGGTAACTTGGAGAGGGTCCGAGTCCGACCCTTGTCAATTATCTACAGGGGTCCCTCAGGGCTCTGTCCTCGGTCCCCTCCTCTTCTCTCTGTACACAAACTCGCTCGAATCTGTCATTAGCCCGCATGGTTTTTCATACCATTGCTACGCTGACGACACTCAATTAATTTGGTCTTTTCCCCGCTCAGAAACCCAGGTCGTCGCACGCATCTCTGCTTGTCTAGCAGACATCTCTCAGTGGATGTCTGCTCACCACCTCAAGCTCAACCTTGACAAGACAGAACTGCTTTTTCTTCCGGGAAAAGAGTGTCCCACCCTTGACCTAACAATCAACATCGGCCCCTCTGTTGTTTTCCCGACTCAGACTGCAAGGAATCTGGGTGTGACCCTAGATAATAACCTGTCCTTCACTGCAAACATCGCTGCAACAACCCGCTGCTGCAGATACACTCTTTACAACATCAGGAGGATACGTCCCCTCCTGACCCAGAAAGCAACGCAGCTTCTGGTCCAGGCTCTCGTCATCTCACGCCCAGACTACTGCAACTCCCTCTTGGCTGGTCTACCTGCATGTGCCATCCGACCTCTGCAGCTCATCCAGAATGCAGCGGCTCGTCTGGTCTTCAACCTTCCTACATTCTCCCACACCACACCGCTCCTCCGCTCCGTTCAGCCAGTAACTGCTAGAATCCACTTCAAGACACTGGTACTAGCGTACCATGCTGTGAATGGATCTGGCCCTTCCTACATCCAGGACATGGTTAAACCATACACCCCAGCATGTGCACTCCGCTCTGCGTCAGCCAAACGGCTCGCTGCACCCGCACTGCGAGGGGGACCCAAGTTCCCATCAGCAAAAACACGTCGGTATGCTATCCTGGCTCCAAAATGGTGGAATGAGCTCCCCATTGACATCAGGACAGCAGAAAGCTTACACATCTTCCGGCGCAGACTGAAAACTCATCTCTTTCGACTCCACTTCGACCAATAAAATGAAAAAATGAAAAACAAAATAAAAAGCACTTATACTAACAAAGCACTTATATACTAATAAAGGACTGGCTTATCTAAAGCCAGTTGAGTAGCACTTGAAATGTTTTGGCTCTATGAAACCTGATGTGCTTATATGATTCTGTTTTCTTCTAGTTTGTATCTTCTTGGTCGAATGCACTTATTGTAAGTCGCTTTGGATAAAAGCGTCAGCTAAATGAAATGTAATAAGAAAAAAATATATATATATTAATATTATTGTTTTATGTTTTGTTTCTGACATGTTCAATAAATTGACTAAAAAATTAATAAATAAAAAGATGCCTTTCGTTGTACGCTAGTAATTGTACTCTGTGCAAGGACAATAAAGTTGAATCTAATCTAAAAACGTTCACAGTTTTACCATGATAATACTGACTGGCTTCATTTGACATTAGAGTATGTCGAGGTCAAGGTGGCATTTCATGGGTATATAAAAAGCAACTATGTATTAATTACTTGTCTCCGGGCCCTCGATTTTCCTCTTGAGCCCGACTGTCTCCTTCTCCCTCAGAGCCTCAGCTGAGCCGTTGGGTCGCGGGAGCAGGGGTCCAGGAGTGGGTGCAGGTCGATTATTGAAGTACATCGTCTTCAGAGCCTGGACAGAAACAGACAACAGTATGAACACATCATCACATCATAGGAACTCATTACTTTGGCTGCAATGTCTAATTTTTTTCCTAATTAAGCTTGTTTGTATGACGATATTTTTTTCTCAATTAATCATTTGGGCTTTACAATGTCCAAAATACCATCTACAAATGTATGTCTTTAAACGTTTTGACTTGACACTCCAACACCCAAAGGTATTAAGTTTAATATGATGTAAAACAAAGAGAAAACCTACATATTTGAAAGGCTCACAACAACGTTTTTGCCATTTTTGCATAGAAAAAGGATTTTAGCCATTAATTGATTATCAAAATACTTAATGACGATTTTCTTTTTTAACACTCAAATAAACACTTAAAATGATCATCATGAATATTTAGGCTAAGATTTTTAATTTGTGTTCACAATTTACCACAGTTAACCCCTTACTCCAAAGATGTGGAAGTGAGAATACTGTCTTTGCTCTGCTTTGTTTACCTGTGTAGCTGTGGTCCTCGTGGCGGGGTTAAAGGTGAACAAGCCCTGAAGCAGCTCTAGTAAGTCATCTCCAGCTGCACTGAATATATGTTCCAGAGGTGTGCCAGGAAATATTTTGAAGGACACATAGTCTGGTAGACTAGTCACGCCCTGAGGACATGAATTACAAACAAATTACACAAGGATTCACATGCAAGTATAATAACACATCCATCACTGGTAAAAACAGATACTAACAGGCCACGACTCCTCTGTAGCCGTGCCAAGAGCCTCAAAGATCTTAGTCAGCTGGTCGAGATCTGAGTCTCCAGCGAGGAATGGTATCTACAGCAAAGGAGACACAAAGAGACCTTAGCGGGGATGCAGAAATAACAGCATGCCAATACCTGTATGAATATTTCTAAATGTGTGTTTTGTTTACCCGAAGGAGCAACTCTGCCAGGATGCATCCCACTGCCCACATGTCAACACCCACTCCGTACATCCTGGCACCAAACAGAAGCTCAGGGGAGCGGTACCACCTGGGAATAAGATCAACAAGTTACATTTTACAACTCTGAAAAACAGACATTCAATATGCTACTGTGCTAGTTAGAACAATATTCTGTCAATGTAAACACTTGGGAAACTTTGAGATAATTTAACAACGAGAAGAGGACAAGATTTCTGTATTCATTAGTATGTGTGCTGTAACATACGTCTTAACCAGTCACATATCTACTACTGACAGATATTTAACTTAATATAATCAAGCATATTTAATGTCTTAATGGGTTTAGTTAAAGTGAACCTATCATGCTATATTTGAATAATATAGTGTAGGACCATACCTATATAAGGCATATTTATACTTTTTTTTTTTCAAAATACCAAACAGATCATGCATTTTAGCCATGCCTCATTTTGCTCAATTTGACAATTTCTAGCTCTGTTTTAGCAAGGGCTGATTATGTGAGAACAGCACCATCTACTGGCCTGGCATATGTACTACAGCGTCTCCAGCGCTTTCGAACGGCAATGGCCGTGGCTGTCTCCTCCTGATTGGTGGAGTTGGCCCAATAGCCGTAGCGCCACTGTCCTGACGTCAGGACAGTGTTCAAATCTGGATCAGTTTTTATCAGATCCGTTGCAGCCCCTTTTTTAGAGATTTGGGTATGGAGGAAAATAGAGAGGGTTGTGTTTTCTGACACTTGGTGAGTTCCCTGGAACACCGGGGACACATATTCATGTATAAAAGACGTACAAAAGTGCATTTTGCATGATAGGTCCCCTTTAAGCTACTGTGGGAGATTTCCAGTGGACACAAATACACAGGAGCCCAGGCAAAGAAGTCCACGTTCTGCATTATTGATTTAACAAAATTGGCAAAAAGCACATACCTGGTGACGACTTGATGTGTGTAGACTCTGTTGGGGCTGCCGAACGCTTTGGCCAAACCAAAATCAGCCAACTTCAACACTCCGCTGCCATCTAGCAGCAGATTATTGGGCTTCAGATCCTGGACATACAAAGTAGCAGAATGTAAATGAATGTCTGTGTGTTTGCAAATATGTGTGTGTTTACATACTAGTGCTCTTACCCTGTGTAAGACCCAATGGTGGTGCATATACTCTAATCCCTGCAGAGTCATGAGGATGTAGGCTTTGATGTTGGCAGGAGTCAACACTAGGCTGGTGTCTTTGATGATTACCTAAAAAGAAAAACAAAGATGCTTATGAAAAGTCGGACATGTTATGACCAGCAATAATCTTCATCCATTTCCATTACTTTCTGTATTTACATGTATCGGAGTATAAAAGGCAATAACAAACTGGCAGATATCACTGGACACAGCTGCATGAAAGCTAAATAGCCCAATATAGATTCAACCCTTCATCCAGAATCCCAAAACACAAATTTGAGTATCCTGCGTCGTGATTTTATTGACAATCTAGTTGAAAATGTATCACATATCTGTATTTGAAAAGCCCTTACAGCCAAATCTAACCATTTGGTCTAAAAATAGTCCTTCAGCACAGATAATCAGATGAGCATCATATTTCACGTCCATGTCTGTCTGGAGCCACTAATGGCATCAATTCATTCTGAGGGCCAAGAGCCGAGTGTTATTGATTTTTTCTAAAGTGTATATATCTTGTTTTGCATCTTCCTATTAGAGCCTGATGTATTGGTGGTTGGCGCCCATCTGGAGCCTCGTATGCTAAAACAAACCAGAGGAGGAAAATCAAAAAGCCTCGGTGACCGTGCAGAAGCACTTAATGGTTAGATGAGAGCACTTACGCTGCCAATTGTCGTCGTCATGCTCATATTTTCTGTGCTACTTTGTATGTCCTCTGACCTCACAACTCTTCACAATTTTTCATCCTTTCGCTTATTTTTGCACTCTTGACATTTCACAACGTGGAAGTTGTACATAGTACTGAACAAATGACTGACAGTTGCCACACACCTTTAAAATATATTAGTGGTGAAGAGAAAACACTTTGCTTTAAATGCTCTCTCCCTGATCTCTAATAAATGGAAGGTAATAAAGAATGAAATGTATCATGTGGTGGCCCACTAATGAAATGCAACATAATGTTCTTTTTACAACCATGAAAGAGAGATGTAAATTCCCATACATAGAACAAGAATAAGGATAATATACTTCTTCACAATATTATTTAATTCAAGAAATGCTGATTTCACTTAATCATTTAATATTGCATCATTTTGCAAGGTGTTATTAAGGTGTATTAAATAATAGGCACACCATTAGTTAAGTTATTCTGTGAATTTAGTTAAATTCAAGTTATTTATGACACATTCAGGAAACACAATTTACGATGATCAATATATTAAAAGTTTCAGTAAACAACTCATTAGAGCTGCAATGATCCACTGAGAAAAAATAAACAACTATTTTGATAATCAATTGATTGATTGTTTAAGTAATTTTTCATTAAAAAAAATGGCAGAAAATGCTTTTTCCAGTTTCTTAAATATGGATATTTTGAGCTTTTCTCTTTCCGATACACTATTAAGTTATCTTTGTGTTTTGACTGTCTGACAAAACAAGACATTTAAAGGGAAACTGAAAAACAAGGATTTACATTTCTTCACAATTTTTAAATATATTTGGACACTATTATAGTTACAGTGTAGACCAAAAAGTGTGTTGATAAATCTGGCAGATAATCTGTAGATGAATGGATAGTTAAAGTAATTAGTTAGTTGCAGCTCTGAAACACATTACATAAATAAACTCAATGGGCTGTTGTATTATATATGTATGGGACTGCATAATACTGTATCATGTGATGTAGGTCTACCTCTAGTAAGACACAGATGGACAGAAAGAGATTTTGTTAATGATATGATAAACTCTCTCACCTCCAGATCTGTTTCCATGAAATCAAACACCAGGCTGATGTTAGATTTGTGTCCGAAGGCATCCAGCAGCTAAAAACACACAGCAAATAAGGTGAATAGTTAAAATATAGAAAGTTCATTATTTCCCCCCTTACAAGAAACACCATTCACTTTTTAATTATAATTCTGACATAATAAATGTTCCCTCACCCCAATGATATTTGGATGATGCAGTTCCTGCAGCAGTTTGATCTCTCGAAGAGCAGTCCTATTAATACCTATTAATCAGAAATACAATTCATTAACAGGGTGATGACAATGGGCAGCACTGAGTGTTAAATGTGTGCAGTCATCATTTACCATCTTTAGCCTCAGTTCTGTGGCCAACCTTAATCTGTCAGAAAAACAACAACAACATAGTGTTAAACATCAGCATAGCATACACATGCTAACAAATGATCAATTTTGAGCTTATTTATTGTACCTTTTTAATGGCAACTATGGAGTCGTTTGTTTTGTCCCTGGCTTTGTACACTGTGGCGAACTGTTGAAGAGAGAAAGGGAGACAACGGTAGAGAAAAGTGTTGTTTTTTCAACATCACTGCTGCTGTAGTGAACACAGTAGCGTGGAGCAGCAAGGCTTTGTTGACATTAACAACCGGCTAACGCTTGATGCTAACATGCTTCCTATACAACCAGATAGGATTGGAAGAGAGTGGACAGATTTAAAAACCGAATCCACTCATATCTGTTTCCACCTACCTGACCCTCTCCGAGGAAATCCAGTTTCTCGTATCGTTTGTTTCTGGATTTTGCTTCAAGCGCCATGATTGCTAACTGTCACTTTCATCAGGA